GATAGATAGAAAGGTAGATAAATAGATAGATGGATAGATAAATTAGATAGGTAGATAGATAGATAGATAGGTGGATGGATAGGTTGATAGGTAGATAGATAGATCGATCGATAGATCGAAAGATAGATAGATTGATAGATAGATTGATAGATAGATGGGTAGGTAGATAGATAGATAGACAGATAGATACATAGATAGGTGGATGGATAGGTGGATAGGTAGATAGATAGATAGATAGATAGATAGAAAGGTAGATAGAATAATAGATAGATTGATATATAAATAGATAGGTCGATAGATAGATAGATAGATAGATAGACAGACAGACAGATAGATAGAGAGATAGACAGGTAGGCCGATAGATAGAGAGACAGCTAGATGGATAGACAGATAGATAGAAAAATAGATAGGTAGATAGATAGATAGATAGATAGATAGTTAGAAAGATAGACAGATAGACAGACAGATAGATAGAGAGATAGACAGATAGACAGATAGATAGAGAGACAGCTAGATGGATAGACAGATAGATAGATAAACAGATAGGTAGATAGATAGAAAGATAGATGCATAGACAGATAAATAGATAGGTAGGTAGATAGAAAGATAGATGCATAGACAGATAAATAGATAGGTAGATGGGTAGATAGATAGATAGATCGATAGATAGACAGTCAGACAGACAGACAGACAGACAGACAGATAGATAGAGATATAGACAGATAGACGGATAGATAGAGAGACAGCTAGATCGATAGACAGATAGATAGATAGATAGATCGATAGATAGATAGATAGATAGACAAATAGCTAGAAAACTAGACAGCTAGATAGATAGGTAGGCAGATAGATAGACAGAAAGGGAGATAGATAGACAGACAGACAGACAGACAGATAGATAGATAGATAGATAGACAGATAGATCAGTAGGTAGGTAGGTAGGTAGATAATCAGAGAAAGATAGAGAAACAGAGAGAAACAGAGAGAAAGAGAGAGAAAGAGAGAGAGAGAGAGAGATCAAGCACCTTTCAGTCCATCAGTGGCTTCGCTCTGCCATCCGTGATTCACAGCAGCCAACCTCTCCTATAGGTTTCCTATTTTTAAAACTTCCGCCACCGCCTTGTGCGGTACTACTGGTATGATTTCTTTGTTAAGATTTAGTGACAAAGGCCCTTCTTCTTTTCTTCTTTGTTTTTTCGTCTTAAGGTGATTCCTTTTGTCTCCATAGATTCCCAGAGATCTCCGGAGATCTATGTAGACATAGTCTCACATGGATCCGTGGACATCCCAAGAGATGCCCGGAGATCCCCATAGATCCCCAGAGACAGACTGGAGATCCCTAGATTTCCGGAGATCCCCAGAGATCCTCAGAGATCTCCGGAGGCAGAGATCCTTAGAGATCCCCACAAATCCCCAGAGATTAGATCCCCAGGAATCCCCAAGGACCCCCGGTGATTCCTGGAGATCAGATCCCTAGGGATCCCCAAACATCTAGAGTAAAAAAAAAAAATAGAACCAATACCAAAAGTAGTACATAGCCTGGAGAGGGGGGGGGTCGAAACAAAAAAATCGACCCCCTCATCCCTCTTTCTCTCTCTATATGTTTTTTGTTGGGCTCCTCCCCCCTCCAAAGCTCCAACTTCTTACGGTGATATGAGAGATCCCCGGGGATCCCTGTAGACCTTGTTTCTCATTTGTTTCTCATGGATCCTTAGACATCCCAAGAGATACCTGGAGATTCCTTCTGGAGATCCCTAAAGATTCCTGCAAATTTGTTCAA